TGGGTCTTGAACGGCGTCGTAGTGACAAGTTTCTTTTGCTGAAGGGATCCAAAATAAAACGAGAACCGTGATGAAAGTTTCTGAAAGCATCCATCAGGCTAAAACGACGCGGAATGCTGCCCTCGGGCTTATGTCTTCAGCCTGATATATCTCGTCCGGACGCCGCTTGGGTAACCCGAAGAATGAAATGCCCACAGACATCCTCCCACATTAGCCTTTCATTTCTTTGTGCCCGTAACACTTTGGAGCTCAGCGGTAACTATGTGTACCATTTGCTTCAATTGTCCACAGAGTGTGTATTCGCGGATTAAGTGAAAGTGATTGTGTCCTTTAGCAGCATTAACCAATTCCCCGGAACCAGGATAAAAATGGCTATAAATCATAAAGTTCTGGAAACCAAAAACAATTTTCGGATAGTTCTCAGAAATCGTGTTCTTTGATATTTTTTTATGTGAATGTGATACAGTTTCGCTCAGTTAACAGAAAATATTAAATGCGAGCTTTTATGTAGCTGTATACTTAGTTTATTACCACGGTGGTCTAGCGGTTAGAACGCTGGCCTTGTAATCCTCGGGTCCCGGGTTCGATTCCCGGCGGTGCCCGAATTTATAACTTGTGTTGGGCAAGGCCGTGGTATAAGCAACACGGAGTTTTCCTCCGGGGGCTTCCCCGGTTTCTCCGTGGCATCCCAACAATTACTCCATTCACACACAGAAGAAGGCAATGGCAAACCACTTCTGGATCATCTGCCAAGAACGTATATGAACAGGGCCCAGTCCGAGAAAAGGATGGAAGGATCCTGGTCATATGGACCTGTCCTCAGACAGAAAACTAAATAAATAAAAATAAACATACAACAATATTGACATGAAATGCCACCAATATAGCTGTTATTACAATGATGAACGTCTAAAACACTGTCACTTCAACTACAAAACACACATCATCAGGCTGGTACAGAAACATAACACAGTGAAACTACTACTGAATTACTGTTGGGTTGTAATTTCTGGACTTACGCCCTTTTACCGTGGCAACAGCGAATTGATTATTTTTTAATGGAGACTCGTGTTTTCTGTTGAGGTAAGGACTGAATGTATATTATTTATGTTAACGTGTTCCTTAAAGGTTAAGTACCGCTCATGTCAATGAAGGTGTTGTGCTGAATTGTTTACGTGATCGACCTGTAAATAGTTAAGCTGATTCTTTGTGAGACATGGCGTTGAGAAGGCGACTCTAAAATAAAATAATATGAATTGTGCTGTAAAGCGATACAGACATTATGTCAAAGAGTACTTTTAATTACCCTGAGGACGAGGGCGAAGATGGTTTTCCTCATTAAGCCGACGTTTGAATAACAAATTGGGTTCAAATTGGCTCGTATTAACACGTGTATTGTGTCGATCGCGTTACGTAGTAATGAAGAGATGATTTTCATTATCAGCTTCTCGTAGTGATCTCTATTTCAGGCACGCTGTGTTACCGGTTATTTTGTCATTACAGACGACCAGGCAAAATGAGGTTCATAATTTAGTAGGATTTAGTTTGTGGCGGAAACTGTTGTCCATCTTACTGTCAGTAAATCCGTACGTAATACTGACCTAAACCATTTTTCTCTCGTGAACTCTTGCTGGAAGATGGCTGTCTTCTGGAATAGTGTCGTAGGTATTGGCCGACGTTACAGAGGAGCGTACTGCCATCATCGTCATCCTGATGATACAGGTGATAAACACCTCTGAAACTGTGTAAACATTGCCCGAGTGCGCTTTGCCAGTACGAGACGTAGACATTGAATTACGTTGTCATATTCAGGTTAAAAAAGTGAAAGGAAGTGATATGACGCATTTCTATATTAATCGCCATGTCACTTCGCAGTGACACGGAATGGAACGGACGATGGATTTTTATACAGTGCGTTTACTAGGCAGCGCAGACCTTGACTGGTCGGCGATTTGGCGGTAGGAGCGACCGCGTTCCGGCTGGGTCCTTGCTCGCAAGAAAAGGCTTCCGCTGTATTGAATATTTTAAAGGTTTTATAGATCAATGTTTGATGCGTTAGACAAACGTAATTGGTTACTATATTTACGTAAAACTTGAACATACTCGCATATGAATTGCAATTAACTTGTTTGCGTCTAGAAGTTAAGTGATTGATTGGAAAATTTTGTAATGGAAGGGAAAACGCAACTTGATATGTACTGCCAGTATACAGAAATATAATAGAAGAAAGTTGAACGATGTCCAATGCGCTTGGTACTTGCCAATAAAAATAAAGTAAGAAAGAAGTCCATCAACATTTCTTTTAAATCAGCTATTAAAAGTAAGCCTGGCTGCATTCCAGCTGGGTGCCAGGGATGTAGGACCAGGTCCTCTCTATCCGCGTTACTTTCATGTTCACTGTCCAATTTTTAAGATGGTCAGTATACATTGGAGTCTTGTGTTTCTTTTGTAGTTTTTGGTCTTCTGAGGTGTGGCGACCTCGAGGGTGAATTTGAAAATTAATTCTTTCGAAACGTTATCTACCCACATGTTCATTCGGCCTTACGACCCCGAAGATCAACATCGACAAGAGAAATCTCCTCGAGAACCTAAAATCTGATGCGTGTATTTCGTCTGTAGGAGATAGTTGTTCCTGAAAATATGTTTATCGACGGTAAAGAAGATAATATTTTATGGAAGGACGTACGTCGCGTGTAGTAGACTCTCTCACCTTCCCCAGTGACGTAGGAATCAAGGTCATCCTGGTTTCTAGGGCGATGGTCACGCCATTTGCGCAAAAGTTGAATATCACTTTTCGTCGAAATCGCTTTCTGTTCCTATTGAAACATGCAACTGGTAAAAAAAAAATCTTACTTTTCGTCGAAATCGCTTTCTGTTCTTCGTGAAACATGCAACTGGTAAAAAAAAAATTCGTGACGCGGGAAATGTGACAAATTCCAATCTGTCGACAAAACAGCTGGAATTACCACCGCCCTTCCGGTTTCAAGCATCATATGCTGCATTAATTTAATATGGCCGGCCATTCGTTTCGACGTTTTGTGCCTGAAGGGGTCCATGTGCATTAGGTAGGGTTTTATTTTAAATTTAACTTTATGTGTTTAAAATTTCAAGCGATAAAATGTTTTGTTACTTCAGTTGAATTTTATCTTATCTACGCGTGGGTCTAGCACACTAACCTGTGAACTGAATTAATTTCGGTGTATTATTCTATTGTAAACTTCCATTGCATAATTTAGCATTAACTGACTGCAACCAAATCTTCCCGGAACTGCCTGTGCTCATAAGAGTTACGTATAAGGCCGTTGGCCTTCTTACAGAGACCTTGAAAACTGATACCTTATCGCGTATTTACTTGTCAGGTTGACTTAACCACACACTGAACAAAGTATGGATCTTCGACCAAGTAACGAGGACAGTAAATTAGTTGTGAAGTTGTTGGTACTGGAATCACGTAGGCTTATAAGAATTGTAGTAGAACTTTGGTTCCAGTGTGGGAGTTTCCCTTATCTTGATCTGGGGGGGGGGGGGGCTTAAATACCTCACTCGGCGACGTCGGGTTAGCGTGTAAGGTTGAGCGATCGGCTATTCGACATTTGACATTTGAACACTGGTTTTGTTATTTATTTTTGTAACCGTGATGGCCTTCGCGGATTGCGATAACACTGGAACATTTCTGTTTCGATGTTGAGAAGAAATTGATATATATATGTGGTAAATTGTTTAAGATATTGTAGGTATATTTTAATACTATTGGTAAATTGTTTTATAAAAGTGTTTATATTTGAATCTTTTCTTGTCTTTTTTTTCGCTTTTGCTAAAAACAACTATTGTGGTATAATTGTAAGATTTTTCTTTAAAAAATAATGTTGTGGGAACAATAATTTGTCCAGGACTCGAGGTTGCCTTTGTTTCGGGTGTTAATGTGGATGACGGTACATGGTTTTTGGCTTAAATTTGACACACGACCATTTGGTGGTGTTCAAAATGAAGCAGAAATAGTTGAACTGGTGGTTATTTGCTTGTGACTTGTTTTTTTTTTAGATGGTGATACGTACTATTTTGAATTTAAGTTGTGAGTTCAAAAGTGACAGATGAAATTTGCATTTGTACTTATCGTATGACACGTTGAATGAAGTTATTTTCCGTGTTCGGGGTTTTTCCTGTTACGTTTTCAATTCCGTACTGTTAGCAGCGGTAAACACCCGTGCGTACTTAAAAACCTGTTCAGAGTTTAGGGTTTTAATCACAGTTTATGCTTACGTAGGGAAGAACTGGTTTGCTGACGTCATGGCATTGATCCATTATCCTGGTTTGTTGACGTCACTAGCTAACGCGTGGTACTGTGCACAGATGATGTCATAAGAGCCCTTCCCACTTTTTTTCTGTCTCAGGAAGTCCTTCCTTTTGCTATCTGCGAGCGACACAAAGTGGACGTAATTGTTATATTTTTCTCTTGTCCAGGATGCCAGGTCTGAAATGCTGTTCATTGTCTGTTGAAAAAAAAGCACGGAATCCCCTGTACATTTGAACTGTCTGCGCAGAGTTGCCTTTATCCAATCATTTATTTTTGGCTTTCCTGTTTATATTTCGTGTTTGGCTTAGCAGCGCATGCGTAAGTTAAGAGGTTTCGTTTCTTTACGTGGGCAGGTTATCTTCTTGGCTGCTACGACCATTCATGTGGGAATTCTGCAAACGTCATCGAATTACGTTTAACCAGAGGGAATTTTTAAGTTGCTTTATTCTCATTCATAATGCTCTGTACTCAGATTTCACTATGTAAAGTACGAAAATTGCTGTCTTCTGGGATGTTTCGCCATGTAGTCTGGTAGTTTTTCGACGTTTCAGAGGTCCTTGCTGCTGACTCACGACGTTTCGAGTCATTGGTAGAATGAGGAAAGATCATTTGCTCATAAAGTTTTAATAATAGCTCGACATCTCAAGTGAATCTTTATATTTTGTGTTAATGCGTGTTATTAATGGATTTTTCTCTTTGTTTTCAGAACTGCCAGCTGAAGAGGGTGAGTAGAATCTCGTTTTATACTCCTAAGAATTGAGCATAAAATAAGGAGGTAATTTTATAAAATTTGGGGCCCATGTAGTGTTCATTCATGTTCTTAAGGCATAATTTGGTAACTTACATTTCCAAATTTATTTATTTTTGGTAAAACCGAATAAGCAGTTCTAGCTTGGATCTTCTGTGTGATTTAATCAGCAATTAACTGTGTGTAAGGTGGTTACTAAAATTTTAGTTTTTGCTGCGTGTGTAGTTTGATAATCACAATGAGAATAGTTTTCGTAGTTGCTGAAAGAAACACACACACACACACACTACACGTGCTTGTGCAGATTTGCACCTTTCGTTGTCATACGCCACATAATGCAGATGTCCAAAAAACTACATTCTGTGTTAGTGTTTTCCATAATGTAACAAGAAATGTACTTAGAATTTGTGCGAAGTTCCGCCCCGTGCATCTCCGAAACGCGTTCGAGCATTTCAGGTTTCAGAAGGTACCATGATCCTGTATTTCAAGGCTTCAGCGACTCCTTGAACTGAAGTTTTCATGTATGCCCAGAAAGAACGTAATTGTCATTGAATTTGGAATCCAGGGGACCACGGAACATACTAGAAACTTTTATTTCGAACAGAGTCGCTAAAGGGGCTGTGTACCGCCCGTATTGGAAATCAAGTCCCTCTTTTTTTTTTTTCAAGTTTTTGGGGAAAGATTCCTGATCGACTGTCCTTGACTTGCCTCTGGAGGAAAAGATGTTCGTAAAAGGCTAAATTTTATGATGTAGTCGTTTGGACATCAAGGCAAGGTCAAAACATGCAAACAGATTATTATGGCAGCTTTCGAAAACGTGACGCCTGGAATTCTCGAACTTGTTTCGACGTCTGTCGAGTTAACGTGTTGGTCGTTATCAACGCTGGTAAATGTAAGACGTCATTTCGTGTCGTGGAAGTATGAAAATCAACACCAAAAGTAAAATTTATGAACATTCTGTATTTAAATTTATCGCTTTTACGTAATTTTAAGTCTGTTTGGTTTTTGGAACTTGCCTTCCATTTTGAGGACTGCTTAAATTTAGTAACTCTTATGTGATGAACATTTTCCTTCTACTTTATGCTAGCAAAGCCTGTTCAGAGGTTTAGAACCTCCGTCATAGTTGGCCTTAACATTCTACTGGTGCGTACGTTTTCCCTCTGACGTGGTTCGTCATGAAAGTGATCTCGTCTTGTTGCTTCATCCAGTTTACCTGATAATTTATAATGTACTCAGCTATCTCTGAGGCTTGCAGCCTGATTCTGACATATTTCCGGTTTGTCGTTTATGGCGTGACATGACAACCAATAGTAACCGAAGAATCTGTATGCAGTTTATATTTATCTTTCGTCATTCTTTTGTCATTGCCAATGTTTCATTTCTAAAACGTAAGCAGAGTTTGGATAAAGCATTACGATTTAGTATAATCAGTACGAGATATATTGTAAAACGTTATAAATGATAGTAAAATATATTTTTTTCGATTTTTGACTTGCTGTTTTCAAAATCGGCGTTATTCTGAATCGTCGCAAATTGAACCGGCGCAAATCGAGGGTTACCTGTATTTACGAACGAGAGTAGATTAAGTTAGGGAGTTTTTTTATCCGTGCTGGTATCGTTTTATGTTCCCATCTCCTGTCAGAGAAGGTTAAAATATAAAAAAAATAAACATTTTTACTCAATTTTTTGTGGGTGTCAAACTGGTATTTCAGCCAAACGAAAATGTACAGATCGATAATAGAATGCGGTGAGAACTTGATCTAACAGGAAGTAACGGAAGATTGGGGAAAAAACTGCATATTTAACCGCTTGATAATTTATAGTTTGCCGTTTAAGATAACGGGCTTATTAAATCAAGGAGGATGAAGGCCAGAGTTCTTCAGTTCAGTTATCGCTGCTTTGAAATATTTTTCTGTAAATGTTTCTAGTTTTCACTCTGTGACCACGAAAATACGAGCACGTGTGTTTTGTGGTACGTTCTGCCATTAGAGAAATCGTATTAAAAATGTATTATCACTAGTCAAAATATAATAGGAAGTAACAAGGTGCAAATGAGCGACGTCCTACGGAAGCCGCCTCAAAATAAGCATCTTTCAAAAAATATCTCGTGCTTTGATTTTTGAGACGTCATCAGTAACCTACGTATGGCATTTCTTTCGAAAACGTGACGCCTGGAATTCTCGAACTTGTTTCGACGTCTGTCGAGTTAACGTGTTGGTCGTTATCAACGCTGGTAAATGTAAGACGTCATTTCGTGTCGTGGAAGTATGAAAATCAACACCAAAAGTAAAATTTATGAACATTCTGTATTTAAATTTATCGCTTTTACGTAATTTTAAGTCTGTTTGGTTTTTGGAACTTGCCTTCCATTTTGAGGACTGCTTAAATTTAGTAACTCTTATGTGATGAACATTTTCCTTCTACTTTATGCTAGCAAAGCCTGTTCAGAGGTTTAGAACCTCCGTCATAGTTGGCCTTAACATTCTACTGGTGCGTACGTTTTCCCTCTGACGTGGTTCGTCATGAAAGTGATCTCGTCTTGTTGCTTCATCCAGTTTACCTGATAATTTATAATGTACTCAGCTATCTCTGAGGCTTGCAGCCTGATTCTGACATATTTCCGGTTTGTCGTTTATGGCGTGACATGACAACCAATAGTAACCGAAGAATCTGTATGCAGTTTATATTTATCTTTCGTCATTCTTTTGTCATTGCCAATGTTTCATTTCTAAAACGTAAGCAGAGTTTGGATAAAGCATTACGATTTAGTATAATCAGTACGAGATATATTGTAAAACGTTATAAATGATAGTAAAATATATTTTTTTCGATTTTTGACTTGCTGTTTTCAAAATCGGCGTTATTCTGAATCGTCGCAAATTGAACCGGCGCAAATCGAGGGTTACCTGTATTTACGAACGAGAGTAGATTAAGTTAGGGAGTTTTTTTATCCGTGCTGGTATCGTTTTATGTTCCCATCTCCTGTCAGAGAAGGTTAAAATATAAAAAAATAAACATTTTTACTCAATTTTTTGTGGGTGTCAAACTGGTATTTCAGCCAAACGAAAATGTACAGATCGATAATAGAATGCGGTGAGAACTTGATCTAACAGGAAGTAACGGAAGATTGGGGAAAAAACTGCATATTTAACCGCTTGATAATTTATAGTTTGCCGTTTAAGATAACGGGCTTATTAAATCAAGGAGGATGAAGGCCAGAGTTCTTCAGTTCAGTTATCGCTGCTTTGAAATATTTTTCTGTAAATGTTTCTAGTTTTCACTCTGTGACCACGAAAATACGAGCACGTGTGTTTTGTGGTACGTTCTGCCATTAGAGAAATCGTATTAAAAATGTATTATCACTAGTCAAAATATAATAGGAAGTAACAAGGTGCAAATGAGCGACGTCCTACGGAAGCCGCCTCAAAATAAGCATCTTTCAAAAAATATCTCGTGCTTTGATTTTTGAGACGTCATCAGTAACCTACGTATGGCATTTCTCAAATTATTCCAGGAAGCATCCAACCTTCGTGTGTCTTGAGTTCATGATAACCGTTACTTTATACGCTTACACAGCTGGACCTAGAAATATGTCAGGTATTAGAATCGTAACATGTTTTAGTAATAATAAAAATATATGTTAATAGTAGCATCCGATGGTGATGTTATTATAGAGTAATTAATACGGTTGTGAATCGTTCTCTTAAAATAACTGCTCGTGAGTAGTACTTAGGCCAGCAGTAATTATCGCTGACAAGGTAGTGATGAGTTAGCCCGGTTCAGATTTCGTGATTACATTCTTGATAATTGGCTTACTGTTTCGACTCGTAGATTTGAATTTTATTTTTCGATCGCATTTGTTTTCCGTTTGTCTCGTCTGTCTGCTGTCAGTAGCTCAAACTATATATATATAGCGTCGAATATAGGATAGTTAATGATTAATGAATTGCAAAGCGGTCGTAGCCTAATTTAAGGCATCTCTTTGTGTTTCTCACGAAAAACCTTTGTCAGGGTAACGAGTCTACGGGCCGATATTTGAACCCGGGACCTCTCGAATACGACGTTTTGTAGAATACCATATTGGAAATTTAATAATATATTATTAAAATTGTTTTGTATTGCAGTAATGACAAACGGAGGAGTGGAATTCCGAATTTTTTAAGTTTCAAATTAAATTAATTATTCGGTTTTGTCCGTCTAATCACAATTATATTTAAAATTTACAAATAAGATAATTAAAATATCATTTTATGTTCCACATCGAATAATCGATTTACATTTGGAACATTTTTACAACATGTTTCGGTTTCATCGAACCATCTTCAGGTGTAAAATTGTATCAATATTATTTTCCACAAAATTTTAAAATAAATGTTCGGTGTCTTTAGAGATCTGCACTGTGTAGCTTTGCTTCTCTGTCATAAAACAAGTTAAAAAATGACAAGAATTTTCTGTTAGAGTAGTGTTTTTCTTGACAGTTCTAGGGTTCGCGAATGGAATGAACTGTGGTCAGCGAGGGAGGGACATTGCGGTTTGATCTGTCAAAATCGGGGTTGTCATGGGAACCGGGAACAGCATTACAAAGTGTGCAGCAGTTGGTCTGGAATACAGAGCTCTAAAGTGGTTGGCGAAATACCCATTCATAACCTGAAACTCAGTTTTCGCTGCTCGAGGCGACCCCTCTGATCGTACAGACATTGTCCAGAGTCTAAACATGGAATTCTCGTCTGCTTAGTCTGCGAGGAAGGCAGTTGTGTGTACCTTTGAAAGGTTACTTTCATTCTGATAAAAGAAGTAAACATTTGTAACACTGAAATTCCATTCCCTGCGGTTTAAAAGTAAGAGTTCTTTTTTATTGGCATTGTGATATACTTCTTTGATTTTGCATCGTAGACTAGACGAATAAATAATTGTGACATTCTTTGAAACAAACGTTAATCAAGCAAAATTGGCTTGATGACATAATTACAGGGGACTTCGTTATGTTATTTTTATTTTTATTTATTTATCTGTCTATATATTCAACGGTTTGAAGTGTTCGGAAGATCTGCTTCGTATTTAGGCTCGCGATTTCATCTCTTCGGAAGGCAAGGTACCCTGATTTTGGTTTTTCGTGTATTTTTCAAAGCGAAATACGAATATTTTCACCAATATCTCGACTTTCGTGCAGAATAATTTTGTTGTTTAATGTTTTATATAGATGTTATATTAACTGTGCTGCTTTGGAGTACATGTACGTGGTTGGCCTATCTTTGCAACATTGCATGGCAAGAAATATAAAGTTTGGTTATGAATCCAAAGTCCCTTGACGACAGCAAATGATCACGAACCAACCAACAGTGTTTTTTTCTGTCTCTGGATCTTGGGGAGGACAGGATTTAAAGTTTCTGAGAGTAGGCAAAACTGGGAGGGTATTTATTTACAAGGTTTGTTTTTCAGTAACAATGCTCAGACCTTGAAATATTCATTTGCTGTTTTAATGAAGATTGGTATTCAGCTGTCTTGTTGTGGCACTGATGTTGAAAGTGTTACAATTTAAGATGCTGGTTGCGCAAGAAATGTGGAAGGAACGAACTTAAAAGGCGTATATAGTGTGTCCTAAAAATATGTATACACGTTCAGTGAATATAATTAGACATTTAAATAAACTAAACTATTACATACGTCGGCGTTGGCACTTAGTGAATAAGCGATTGTAGTCTAGGTGTTGAGTGTAGACCACACCAAATTTACCTCGTAAACACAGCACACAGGGATTGGTAATAAGGTTAATTAATGTTCCGTATAAAATATGTATGCATCTTTTTTGGGACGATCTGTATTATTATTATATTTTTTTTTTCATCAGTCTTTCGACTGGTTTGATGTCCTCCATTTTCGCCCATCTTTTTATTTCCACATATTTTCTACAGCCCACATCCTCAAAAATCTTTGTTTCCCCCTACAATTCTTCCCTTCAGCTGTTCCTTCCATTACCAAATTAACCAATCCTGGGTGCCTCAGAATGTGCCCCACCATCGAATCTCTTCTTCTCGTAAGATTTTTCCTTCGCCTATCCTGTCTAAGACCAGCTCATTTCGTACTTTATCAGTCCACTTAATTTTCAACATTTCAAATGCTTCTACCCTTATTCTTTCTGCCTTTCTCACTGACCATGTTTCGCTTCCAAACATATAAATTCAGAAAAATCTTTCTTAATTCCAGACACTAGTAGACTTCTCTTTATGGTTAGGAATAACGTGTACACCGTCACGAATTGTAAATTCTTTGTCCAACCCTGGCCGAATCTTTGGATTCAGTTAAGCCTTCTCTGCGACGAGGAATTTTTTGTTGGTGAAACAAATACAAACGTTTGGATAATGGAAATAAACAAATACAAAGCATTTATTGCAATCATAAGTTTGTTTCTCGTCCTTTCGGTTAGTATTCGTGGTCGGTTTGTTTATCGGTTCGAGTGATAAACATTAGAGCAGTTTGTGACTGTGGAAAGGAGGTCGCTAGTGGCCCGCAGCTGTCTTTAGGGTCCATGCAGCAGGAGATTGACGTCAATTTGAAACAGAGCAGCACCTTGTGCCACCCACTCGTGCAGTTCGCTGGCTGTGACGTCACAGCGGTCATATTTTGGCCAACACGTCAGAATCGTTACGCGACATTTTCTGTCGTGGAAAATGTGTGATTTGTTTTAAAAGTAATTTTTCTCGGTGTCCTCAGCATTTCAACTCGTGGTAATCTTAACTCTCCGCTTTATAGCTCCATAGGCTAAATATAATTTAACCCTTCGGAGCAAAAAAGCTCGTACCGCGAAGAAAACACTCCACTTCGCCATTACAAATATCAGCTGGTTAACGTTATTAGGGAAATGATCGCTGTTTGCATTGATAATCGTACGAAATACACAAATACACAATGTAGCTTTGATTGTCATTATGAAAGCATATTTCCATGTACAGGGTGGGTGGGAAGTTGGTTATAACCTCAATATTTCCAATGCTTAGCGATTATTTAATGCCTAGTTACTTCCCACCCACCCTGTAGTTACCGCTCGGCTTGAAAGGGTTAAGACATCTTGGTGTAGGTGAAGTTCCTCTGGGTTAATATTTCTTGGTGGCTTTAATTCCGTGTCCGTCACTCCATCTGTAAAATTTCAGCCGAGTGACGATGATGAAATCGTGTTTGCTCAGAATCGACAGTTCGCAGATTTAAGCAGCCCTGACATAGGTGTTTCCTTGAACCTTGTCGCTCGGACTTGACGCGATGAGTGGACGATTGTATAAGAAAAAATCATTGGCCATTACTAAGTAAAATAATGTATTTTAATAGTAACATTTGGAGATATAGGAAGTGAGTTCAGTTGCTTTCGAGAGTTGTCAAATTCGTCGTAGAAGATTTATTTCTGTTTTATTCTGGAATTGTGTATTGTATATGCTTAGTGGAGTAGCGGATATGTCAGGAGCTCTTTGGACCTCGGTGTGTTAGAGGTTTATATTTGTTCCAGACTCAACAGTGAATTTGTAGCTGGTTGCTAGAGAATGAAGTGGTCAGAATTCGGTGCAAGCAATAATTATGGGATTACAGCTCGTTACGTCATATTGAACCCAAATTGATAACTACGCCGTTGTGTTGTCTTGTGCTCCCCTTATTGTGTTCGGGTTTGTCAATTTAAGTAGGGCAACCTTTTCTGAGTAGCAGTTGTCAGTTTTGGAAACCAGGAAGAAGTATATAATGGTGTTATGTTTAATTCAACATTTAACTCTTGAAATGCCACGGGCATGCTTCGACAGTCATTAACTCAATATTTTGCGAACGGTGCGTGTGTGTGATTCTCAGAATAAACAGCGATTATTTCCCAGGGTTTCGTCTTTGTATTGGGGGCACGTTGTGTTTTCTTCGAGGTAAGGACTGGATTGCTTAATATTATTTATATTGGTTTCAGTTTAAATAGATGAAATCAGTCTGGATGTAAACAGTTAACGACGAAACAAGTTTTTGTAATATCGGTCATTTGACAGTACAGATATTTTTCCATATCAGTGGTTGGCCGTGCATTCCGGGGGGAAAAACCGCATAAATGAAGGGCTGATTTTCCACAAGGACTCAGAACTCTTAAGATGATAGTAGTATACATTTATTCATGTAGAGTGTTAATATATTTTTGCCTAATGTTATGTTGACGTTTTATGGTATGTAGCTTGAATCGGCGACGCCCAGTTACGTGTTGCATACGACTTAACCGCGCATATGTGCTTATTAAAACTGTTTCAAAACCACCCATCCTGGATTTGTATCGTTTATTAATCAGCTCCATGTGTACGTACAGGTTTGTAGTCGCCTTTCAGATACGTGGATTGTGACTCCGTCTACTCATTTACCGTGAACATGGTGTTTTGTTTGTCCGAAACGTTTATAATCACCTGTAGAAGCGCACGGCGTCGGAACCCAGAAGATTTGTCGTACAGTCGGCATTTTCATCGTCGTAATAACCGCAGAATAGCCACGGTGGTCTAGCGGTTAGAACGCTGGCCTTGTAATCGTGGGGTCTCGGGTTCGATTCCCGGCGGTGCCCGAATTTATAACTTGTGTTGGGCAAGGCCGTGGTCTAGGCAACACGGAGTTTTCCTCCGTGGCATCCCAACAATTACTCCATTCACACACAGAAGAAGGCAATGGCAAACCACTTCTGGATCATCTGCCAAGAACGTATATGAACAGGTCCCAGTCCGAGAAAAGGATGGAAGGATCCTGTTCATATGGACTTGTCGTCAGACAGAACACTAAATAATAATAATAATAATAATATAATCGCAGATCTTATTATGTCTTGGTTAACCTTCATCTTCTTCGATGACCCTGATGTACTCTCCTGCTACACAGTGCTTGAATTTAGGTGTAACACTTTTCATTTGTTTTGCAGGCAAGTCGATCTGGCAGTTGGTTTTGGAACAGTTCGACGATCTGTTAGTGAAGATCTTATTGTTAGCAGCGATCATCTCATTTGTAAGTATATAGCAGTTAGTGCCGTGGTTATTTTGCTTGTGATGGGCCCAAAAAGTCTTTTGAGGACAAACGTATTGACGTCACTGCTGGTATATATGTTTCTTTAGCTGTAGGATAATGTTGATTTCACTGACAGCTAATTCTTGACGGAGAAGGGGTATGTGTATGCAGCTCTGTGCAATGTAAACTTTCTTCCTGCGAAGATGAGAGAGAAGGAATCTGGTCAGGGCATGGTGAACGGCGAAGGCGAGAGGTAGAACACAGTCCTGAATTTCGCGACGATTATAGTGTCTTCTGGTACACTGGATAGCTGGTTTGAATCCAGCTGGGGTTTTATAATGCCAGTTTTTTTACCGTGGGTGGATGCCGGCCACTTACTAATTTTTCAGTTTGCATTTCATCAGAATGCGAGTTTATTTAAAACTGATGGGCGTGAATTCGTGCGTGTTCAAGAGCCTTTGCCAGTTCTCACCGCCCCCACGACCGGCCGAGAAACTTTCACGAATGAACACGATTTAGAGGGTCGAGTGTATGCACTTGAAGTAAAGAAAAGATATCTATAAAAAAAACGTATTCCTTCTTCCATTTCTAGAAACTAATGACATATCTCCTTGCATTTACGCACTTGTGAGCGTCTTTCTAAAGAGGGCAACCTGTTAGGAGGGGAAAATTAATGACGTGCATCTTTATAAATTGTTCAGGTCTGCGTGAATTTTTTTTTTTCAACTGATGGAACAGGACCCTACAGGAAAGTCCCGTGTCTTGTATTAGGAAGGGTCTGACCGTTCCAATTGTTACCCTGGGTTATGGTAGACTCGTAGGCAAATTTCTAACTTTTCTGAGAAACATGCTGCTTTCATCTTCAGGGTTGAAAGTGGAGACAGTATGTTTCTCCGAAACGCCGGTATCTACCGCGGGTCCACACGACGTCGCAGGCCCAGAAAATCGTCATCTTGAGGGCCAGCGCTGACTCTTACGAGCTGTAATAAGACGAATGTTGCAGAGTTTTTGGTACAGTTAAAAGTACACCAGCTTTCAGGAGATCTTGTCTGTAATAACTTTATATCCGAGGCTTTTTATCATGTCGGCGAGAGGGTGGTTTCTGGTTACGTTTGAGATGGTTAAAATTGTTTTGTATTCGAAATTAAGTTGGACGTGACTTCAAAAATTCCATGAACACTGAGGCTTTTGTTTAGAATGTAATGGCAGTGGAAAATATGAACGCTGAAGTATGTTCGAGCTTCTTAATGTGTGAGAATTTTTACAAGAAAATGTGCTTGTAAGTGTTTCACATTCCTCCAGCTTTGAAACATAATGGTCGCCTTGTGCCATATCACTGTAATTAATTATGGTATCGTTTGCGTCATTTTCAAAGTTAGAAAATCCTGTTAGTGCGCATTAGTTCTGTGATGGCGTACACTAACGTCATTCCTTATCGAACTGCTGAAGAAATTGCTAGTCTGATAGTAACTGAGTGACTGGTTGTTTTCTTACAAATGACGCTAAAGCTCCCTTATTTTAGGGGTGTTTGTGGCCCCCCCCCCCAAGCACATGCCACGATTCAACCGAAAGAGCTCCGAGACATGAAAGATGAAATATTGAGAATTTGGAAGTAGAAAACTCTCAAATACTGTAAGATCTTCGACGTTACACGTAACTGTGTTTGAAGATAAAATCGAGCATGGCCCGAAAGACCATTTTATCTTTATTCACAGGCAAAAATACCTTTCCGGGCGGGAAAAATTGTCTGAAACAGCAAATGTTACAAAAATTTTGAGGGGAAACTGATCTCAGATTCTGGCCACACAATTTAATTTAGTTGTTAAAATACGAATACTGCACTCGGGATATCAGGACTTGGAATTGTGTGAAAATAGAGCACCCTTGTAGTTAGTGGGAGGGTTTCAATGCACTCTGATCGCTGCCATTTGGAGCAGAAGTAAGTAGTGTGTTGAACAGTGCATTATGAAGCCGCTTCCAGTTTCCGCTGATTTTAACTGCATCACATTACCGACGCTAAATATCCCCCCCACCCCACCCAGTGACTGATCTCTATGGGCTGGTTCACACTGTGGGACACGACACGGTCAAGTCATTTAACACCTAATATAAAAATTTACCTTCCGGTGGGGAGGACATACTCCGGTCAGGTCTGGGTCAAGGCACCTTTGGTCACTCAGGGAGGCAACTCTTGTCCCATGGCCACATCGGCAACACGAAAACCGAAGAGGCTTGACCTGGTGTCAAAGCGCCGGTTAAATCCTGATTAAACTACGAACTGGAAGAAGGCTGTGATTTACAAGTGCGCCACGTCTCGGTAGTATTTCTAATGTTCCTGACGAAAACATCCGAGTATTTTTCGTCGTTCTGAGTTGAAAGGCCTGGAAATGGAATACTGGGGCAGAGAGAAGGCACGAAAGAGATTGGAAGAATTTGGATAAGTAATGAAGTTACAAAAGGAGTCTCCGTTAATACGTCGTCGTTTAATAAACTGCGAATAATCGGAAACACGCTGTGTAAGACCCCAGGGGCTGGGGATCAGTCTAATCGCCAAGCCACTGTTCAACAGCTGTCATATAAGTGACGTTCAGTGTTCTTGTCATTACATAAGACAGATGCGCGCGCGCAGTTCTATTTCATTCCTCTCTTATCTCTAAAGTTTTTACGAAGTTAGTGTCTTGACGTCATCTCTTGGGAATGGCAGAGCTAATTCTATTCTCACGTTGGCGGTAAAATGGAACACAGAGGAAGATAACTTCATACCGGAAGTTTCGTCAAAAATCTTTATTACGAGTCGTACCAGAAACTGATGAACCTGTGGATTATGCGTCATGGGAGAAAGCTACACAGCATTCCGTGTATCTGTCTCACCCCCACCCCCCACCCCCGCCGCAAGTATCAGTGGGAATGTAAGTCAGTCTTGGAGTAATACGTAATATTTCCGGTTTCAGAAGCTTATTGTGATATAAAATTTAAATTAATGAGTGTAAGATTAAAATTAAGACGCAGTCGAATGTTTTTTTATATGCTTAAAATGGCACGACCTTAATAAATCTCTACGTTTCGAAGGATAGATCTTTCTTTGTTCTCAGATGAGTGGGAGACCGAACTATTCCCGATCTGTTGACCACAGATGCATTCTTCGAAACGTAGTGATTTTTTTATGTTTAAGGCTTTTTTTAAAAAAGAAACGGACGATTGATGGAGTCAGAAACAAAGAAAGTAGAAACACACGTGACTTTGTCTTCTAGCGGTTAAGGTAGGAACTACAGCTCTGTTGTATTGTGGTACGTAACACCGGTTTTGACCCATCCGTACAGAAATACCACGCACCTAACCTTTCCCGACGTTGATTCGTCGCTAAAAGATACTGTTGACATTATCGTTTGGTCATCTTCAACGAGTGATATCATTGCGACAATAAAATTCATGTCTGTGTGCTTTATCGATCACTGTGATGTATCAGAAAGGTTACAATTCGTAAGAATTGAAGCTGATGAATTCTTTGATCATCACTGGCTTTTTATGTAGATTATCACTGGCATTCTGTGCGAGGATGATATTGGATAATTACACGTGAAGTGATAATATTTATATGCTCGGGAAACCTGGACTAAGTGAGCATCCATCCATTTCAGGCAAGAGTAGTGTTGCTTGAGTTTTTCTGTAACTCATTTCTTGAAATTTTTCTATTGCAGGTCCTAGCTTTGTTTGAAGAACATGATGACCAGATCACCGCCTTTGTTGAACCATTCGTTATATTGCTTATCCTCATTGCTAATGCTATCGTTGGTGTATGGCAGGTAAGAAGTGCAACTTTCTCATGATTATATATTTGTATAGGCATTTTATCCTGCTTACGGAGGCCAAGCGATCCGGTATTACTTGCGAACAGCCTTAGACTCGAAGCCAGTAACATCCAGTGCAGATTTTTTCACATAACTTTCTGTCTTATCTTACATATTTAAACTCTGTGTATGTTCGGATCATTTTCCCCCCACCTCTGTATCTGCATGAAATAATTCTGGTTTAATAGGCTCATAGATGGTTTAACATCGGCTTTTACTCTTTTATTGACTTGGGATATTTCTGATCAAGGCTAGTTTTAATTTAATTGAAGCTTAATTTTAGACAGGTTTAACCAAATACATATATTCTACGTTCTGCTTAAATATATCGTATATTTCGAGAATATGATTGCAGTTATTTTAAGAGGTGATTACAATGGTACTGTTCTTTCTGAATGTATAGGAGAGGAATGCAGAATCTGCCATTGAAGCATTGAAAGAATATGAACCTGAAATGGGTAAGGTTGTGCGAGGCGATAAATCTGGCGTCCAAAAGATTCGTGCCAAGGAGATTGTCCCTGGTGACGTAGTTGAAGTGTCGGGTAAGTTGGAACTACGGTCTGTGTCTCCGTTCTGCGTGACGTGTTCAGTGTTCTGTGTCCGTCGAGACGAACGCAGCGGTATTACCGTAAAATAAGGCATGAGCTCCTCTTGCTACGTGCTCCCCCATCTCTTACCACTCATGCTGTTGCAGCCATGTGGTTATTACACTTGTTTCATATTCAGGAGCTCCCAGGTTCAACTGTTAGCCTGACATGTTTTCTTGGTTGTACCCAGTCCCTCCAGACAAATGCAGGGGTAGGACATGATTGCTACATTCCACACCCTTTCCATTTCATTATTAATTGTGCCGTCATTATACGGTATATGGTCTCGGCAGCACGTTAAGTAAACCATAAATTAATAAAATAGAACCATAGCATCCGTTATTTGCTGTGTAATCTCGGAAAATAATGGTAGGAAATCAAACTGTAGAAACATAATTAGGAATCAGTAAGAAAAACCGCTTAGTTTTGTATTAAGTCAACCACCTCACTGAAATTTACCGAGTTCTTCGCAAAGAAACTTGCAAATTTATATGTTGATTGATATTTTGCAGTTGGTGACAAGAAAAAAAAAAATATCCGTCTGATCAAGATCTTCTCTACCACCTTGAGGATTGACCAGTCCATCCTGACAGGAGAGTCTATCTCTGTAATCAAGCACACTGACGCCGTTCCTGACCCCCGAGCTGTGAACCAGGTGCGCACAGGATCAGTAATGCCAAGGAATTGCGATATATAAACAGAGAAACTCCATATTTTTTTTAAATATGCGTATAATAAGTTCTTGAAATGAAAAGAAGTCATTCAATGCACGTGATATTCTTGTGCACGTCTATTTATTGGTGAAGCAGCTTTTATCATATCGCAGGAAAGCTGTCGGTATTCTTCTCTCATTTTTTTTTTGTATGTGTGTAGGATATTTTTATAGCAGTTTTATTTTTTACTGATTGGATGGAACTGGGAATGATTTTGGTCTTATTGCAGGCGAATGTAATAATAAATGTGGCACATGAATATTTCTTGAGATTTTGTTGTATTGTGACTTCTGTCTTGCAAGATTGAGATGCAAATAATTTTTAATGTCATTTGCGTGTTTTGGAATCAGAGTTTACATTTTCAAGCAGAGTAATTTTGCATTTTATAAACACATGCGTATGTGATTTATCCCTTTTTAAGACATCTGTCATAACCTAAAAGTGGACGTGGATTTATGCAGGGTTCACACTAAAAGTAATAAGGCTATTGAAAAACAGCAACGCTGGTGCAAATCGCAGAACATGTCGTATTCAGCGATCATTTCATACAGCTGCATTTTCACGAGCAAGCAGTTTAATTGCTTAGGTGTGGACGTAGGCGATGTATCACTTTACGTGCCACTTGTTACTGCATCTTTTTGTATTAAAATCATTCCATATTGTGTTGCAGGACAAGAAGAACATTCTTTTCTCTGGCACCAATGTTGCTGCTGGCAAGGCTCGTGGTGTTGTGATTGGGACTGGCCTCAACACTGCCATCGGTAATTATCAGACACACCATTACATATAGTTTTTTGTTTTTGAATCCGTGAAGGTAATATGAGTGACAGTCACTTCGAATAATCCGTCGAAGTCTTTAATCGCTTCCTACCTGGCCTGGAGTATCCGGCACAAGGGAACACAGTCTCTGGTTGTGGCTGAAGAAGATCATGAAATAACGAGAGAGAGTCAGTCAGTTGTTTATTTTCATTGCACATTTAAGAAAATTCTGTACTGTGATAAGTGTGACAGTGTAGCGAGTCTTTTAACATTTGTCAGCCAAGTGACTCTGCTTATATGTGGTCCAGCTAGCGGTGCGTCACTGTAGCATAACGATAAACAGTTGTAACACCAGAGTTAAAGGCTGACCAGCAGATGTCTAGTGCGGCGGATTTCGTATTGCAATATGATATACGTTGACGGTTTAACATCAAGAGCAGGGACTTTTCTCTTTGCCACCATATCCTAACCAGCTCTGAGATCCGCTTTGCCTTCTATCCTGGAAGCAAAGTGACCGGAATGTGAAGATGACCAGACATCATCATCTGGTGCTGAGGGAAGAATGAGTGGTTTTACCTCCATGCCACCATTAATTACAGCTGTGTGGTGCTTAGGCGTAGGAGGAGCATGATTATTATTGTCATGATTCTTGCTGAGGTCAAGATTTTTATGTCGTTAATACTCTGCAGTTTGTGATTTTATTTTGCTGAATGGTGCTTTTAATTTCATGATATTACTGCTGCGCCATCTCCACTTCTTATGCTGCAAGTTGTTACTCCTGTGTATCTCTCTGTTTATCCATTTCATGGTTTAGAAGGCGATTATTTACATTTATATCTTGTGTCATTAATCAGGTAAGATCCGAACTGAGATGTCTGAGACTGAGGAAATTAAGACCCCTCTGCAGCAGAAACTGGATGAGTTTGGTGAACAACTTTCCAAGGTTATTTCTGTCATCTGTGTTGCTGTGTGGGCCATCAACATTGGACACTTCAATGACCCAGCTCATGGTGGTTCCTGGATTAAGGTTAGTAGATTAGGTGAAATTGAAATACTAACGTTCTGTGCACTTCTGAAATTTACATATTATTTGTCCCTGTTATCTTGTTCCATACAGTAGATGTCATACATGTCCTTGTGGAAATGTGTTTTAATCTTATGGCTGGTTTACATTTAGAAAAAAAAAATGGATTTTGTAAATCTCATTGTATCAGAGTTCCGTTATGTTTGTTGCGTGCAGGGTGCGGTGTACTACTTCAAGATTGCTGTTGCCCTGGCTGTTGCTGCCATTCCTGAGGGTTTGCCTGCCGTCATCACCACCTGTCTGGCCCTGGGAACGAGACGTATGGCCAAGAAGAATGCCATTGTGCGCTCCTTGCCCTCTGTAGAAACCCTGGGTTGCACGTCTGTCATCTGCTCTGATAAGACTGGCACGCTGACCACGAATCAGATGTCTGTTAGCCGGTGGGTAAAGCATAGTCTGTATTGACAACACTCGTGCAATAAATGGGTTTTTTTAGTAATTTGAATTTTTTGGTGGACATGTAAGTGGGCCAGTGCTTCACATTCTAGAAGACCACCTTAGACAAGATTATGGATACTTGAATTGTCAGTGGTTTTGAACTTTGACCCCTAGATTGGATCAAGGTTGTATAAACTGAAAAAAAGTATTCTGCTCTGCTTGAGCAAATTTTGAACCTTTATGTTAGCGTTTACACTGAATATGAAAGACCATGTGTATGTGTGTGTGAATCATATTTATAGCCTTCTGTAAAATTTAAAACAGAACGTTTTATAGACTTAAAACACTAATGATAATTTAAGGGCTAAAATTCATTTTGAACATGTGGTTAATAGAAAACAAAAGAAGAGATTGTATTTCTGACAAAACTCTAAAACTTACTGAGATAAGTTTATTATATTCTGTCTTTCATACAGTGAACTGAGTGTTTTTGAGCATTTAAAATGTTTGAATATTTATCCATCTGTATAGAAATCTTAAAACCTTGCGTACTGTGCAGTATATTGATATATAAAATCAATTGAATTTTCTGTTCTTTCTCTATAATTTATTTTCTAGTCGCATATTTCATGTAATATGTTGTTGTGAATGTTTTCTTTACAGAATGTTCATCTTTGAAAAGGTTGAGGGTAATGACAGCTCATTCCATGAATTTGAGATCACTGGTTCAACATACGAACCTATCGGTGATGTATTCCTTCGAGGTCAAAAGGTAAAGGGTGGAGACTATGATGGTCTTCATGAGATTGGAACCATTGGTATTATGTGCAATGACTCTGCGATTGACTTCAATGAATTCAAGCAGGCATTTGAGAAGGTTGGTGAAGCTACTGAAACTGCTCTGATTGTACTGGCTGAGAAGACCAACCCTTACAATATAGCCAAGCAGGGCCTAGACCGCCGTGCATCTGCAATTGCTGTCAGGCAAGACATGGAGACCAAATGGAAGAAGGAATTTACCTTGGAGTTCTCCCGAGATCGCAAATCTATGTCTTCTTACTGTGTGCCACTGAAGCCAACTCGTCTTGGCAATGGACCCAAGCTGTTTGTGAAGGGAGCGCCTGAGGGAGTGCTAGATCGTTGCACTCATGCCCGTGTTGGGACCCAGAAGGTACGGGGTTTGCTTCAGCAAAATCCAAGTTTTTGAAAATAAGGGTGTCCTGTTTAAACTGATGACCAGTAATGCCACTGTCTACCAGTTAAAATCATCCTTCGCTTGTTCCATCCACCTCCTATCCTATTTTCGCTGGGATCCACCTTAATGTATTGTCTCATCATCTTTTTTTGTCTACGTATGGCCCCAAATTCAGCTTTATGTATCTCTCATTAGCTTGCTTGAATACAATATTAACAGCTGTTGTGTTTAGGTGCCTCTGAGTGCAACCCTGAAGAACCGCATTCTGGAACTCACACGGCAGTATGGCACTGGTCGTGACACGCTTCGCTGCTTGGCTCTTGCAACTGCTGATAATCCTATTAAACCTGAAGACATGGATTTGGGTGACTCTACCAAGTTCTACACATATGAAGTGAACCTGACTTTTGTTGGTGTTGTGGGAATGTTGGACCCTCCCCGCAAGGAGGTGTTTGACTCAATTCAGAGGTGCCGTGCTGCTGGTATCCGTGTCATTGTCATCACTGGTGATAACAAGGTACCTTTCTTGTTGGATATGAATGTCTTTCTTGGACTGATGAACCTCTGTTCTTTCTCTATAATTTATTTTCTAGTCGCATATTTCATGTAATATGTTGTTGTGAATGTTTTCTTTACAGAATGTTCATCTTTGAAAAGGTTGAGGGTAATGACAGCTCATTCCATGAATTTGAGATCACTGGTTCAACATACGAACCTATCGGTGATGTATTCCTTCGAGGTCAAAAGGTAAAGGGTGGAGACTATGATGGTCTTCATGAGATTGGAACCATTGGTATTATGTGCAATGACTCTGCGATTGACTTCAATGAATTCAAGCAGGCATTTGAGAAGGTTGGTGAAGCTACTGAAACTGCTCTGATTGTACTGGCTGAGAAGACCAACCCTTACAATATAGCCAAGCAGGGCCTAGACCGCCGTGCATCTGCAATTGCTGTCAGGCAAGACATGGAGACCAAATGGAAGAAGGAATTTACCTTGGAGTTCTCCCGAGATCGCAAATCTATGTCTTCTTACTGTGTGCCACTGAAGCCAACTCGTCTTGGCAATGGACCCAAGCTGTTTGTGAAGGGAGCGCCTGAGGGAGTGCTAGATCGTTGCACTCATGCCCGTGTTGGGACCCAGAAGGTACGGGGTTTGCTTCAGCAAAATCCAAGTTTTTGAAAATAAGGGTGTCCTGTTTAAACTGATGACCAGTAATGCCACTGTCTACCAGTTAAAATCATCCTTCGCTTGTTCCATCCACCTCCTATCCTATTTTCGCTGGGATCCACCTTAATGTATTGTCTCATCATCTTTTTTTGTCTACGTATGGCCCCAAATTCAGCTTTATGTATCTCTCATTAGCTTGCTTGAATACAATATTAACAGCTGTTGTGTTTAGGTGCCTCTGAGTGCAACCCTGAAGAACCGCATTCTGGAACTCACACGGCAGTATGGCACTGGTCGTGACACGCTTCGCTGCTTGGCTCTTGCAACTGCTGATAATCCTATTAAACCTGAAGACATGGATTTGGGTGACTCTACCAAGTTCTACACATATGAAGTGAACCTGACTTTTGTTGGTGTTGTGGGAATGTTGGACCCTCCCCGCAAGGAGGTGTTTGACTCAATTCAGAGGTGCCGTGCTGCTGGTATCCGTGTCATTGTCATCACTGGTGATAACAAGGTACCTTTCTTGTTGGATATGAATGTCTTTCTTGGACTGATGAACCTTGAGTCCTAAAAAGCTGGTATTAATCATCAGTAATATATAAATTAATTTTCATAGCTTTCTTAATTGTAATACAGAAAAATCGCCAGTTACATAACTCCTGTAAGGGGTTCTGGACATTTCAAGTCTTTGCTATTTTGTGGGCTCCCTGACTATAATGATAACAATTTCATATAATTTGATTGCAGTTTATAAAAATGCTGCTAACCATCCAAAATACATACATACATCACTCAGTTTTGTTTTATTATAGACAGGGTAATAAAACATGACAAAAATATACACAGGATGCACAAAACACACCAACAGGCAGCACGCAGGTTGAGACACCTGACCTAGTTACTTCAAATAATTGAACATGTTTATTATTACTTGAATCGTATTGTTTCTCTATTTGCTATACTTTGAATTTGTTAATGGTGAACTCAGGCCACTGCTGAAGCCATCTGCCGCAGAATTGGCGTCTTTGGAGAGGATGAGGACACAACTGGAAGATCTTACTCCGGCCGTGAATTTGATGATTTGCCGAGCAGCGAGCAGAAAGCTGCAGTTGCTCGAGCCAGGCTGTTCTCCAGAGTAGAGCCTGCACATAAGTCCAAGATTGTGGAGTTCTTGCAGAGCATGAATGAAATTTCTGCTATGGTGAGATACATTTTAGTTTATTTTGTATGGACATAATCCATTTTGTGTTGTTTAAACAGTATAAAAACTTTATCGGTACCGGAAGTTAAAAAATTAAAGTTTTTAATGTTCTCTGTATTAGGAGACTGGCTCTGTCTTTGTCTTCCAGTAAAAGTACTAAATTATGAAGGGATGCTTGAGAGAAAACTCTCATGTTGACATTCAGATTGCACCCCTATTGTTTCTGGATGTGACTTGTATATCTTCATGTAAAGTGTTTATTATCGATGTCCAGTTGTAACCAAAACCGGAATGCATCATCATATTTTAGTAACATTCTGTTCATTGGTTCACAGACGGGTGATGGTGTGAATGATGCACCTGCCCTGAAGAAGGCTGAAATTGGCATTGCCATGGGCTCTGGAACTGCTGTTGCCAAGTCTGCTTCTGAGATGGTGTTGGCTGATGATAACTTCTCCTCTATCGTGGCTGCTGTTGAGGAAGGCCGAGCCATTTACAACAACATGAAACAGTTTATCCGATACCTGATCTCTTCAAACATTGGTGAAGTTGTGAGGTCTGTATTATTCCATCAGTCTTTGAGTGTTGTAGCTAAGCATCTAAATTAACTTTAATGGTACATCACTATTACATTTGTATAAGAATAAATATCGACAGCAAACATGGTTGTTCCCATTTGTGTTATTTTATGTCTTTTACATAATTAGATTTTCAAAAGTGCCATGTTTGTTTTAAACTTACAGATATCTGGTAAAAGCAAAAACAGCAACCAATATTTTTACAATGTGTTCAAGAGATTAAAAAAGAGAACTTTTCTTATCTATTAGGTACCACACATATTCTTAATATAATTATTATAGTTTCATAAGAAAGGGTTTCATTCTGATCAGAAATTGAGGATCTACCCTTCCCCACCACAATTTGCCCAAATGTTATTGTGGGTGAAGCTGGGAAGGAATGGATATGACAACGTACCTGACGTACGTAAGAGAAGTAAGGTAACTTTACCTCTAAATATTCTGTAATTTCTCCTTTATTATTAATCATACCAATCATGTGTGAAGGAACATTTTTACTTTTATCTGCATTTGACACCGTGTCCAAACGGGGTACAGGTAGAACCTCAACACTGAATGGAGTTAGTGGTCAATTTAATGCCTCATTTTGTCTCCGCATGTAGGAGGAGAACCCCTGGTACTCATTGGATGAGTCACAGAGGTATTCTGGAAGTTCTGGTACCATGGGCAGAACATTTATGTTCAACATTATTAATGTGAACACGCTGCCCTCTTTGGTGAATTTTTGGTAAGGAACCAAATGTCAGCCTGTCTCATCATTGGCAGCAGAGTTGTTGGTAATTTCCCATTGTAATGTTTGATACAGTATCTTCCTGACTGCTGCTTTGGGTCTTCCTGAGGCCCTCATTCCGGTTCAGTTGCTTTGGGTCAACTTAGTAACAGATGGTCTTCCCGCCACTGCCCTCGGCTTCAACCCCCCGGATCTCGACATTATGTCCAAGGTGAAAGTTCTAATTGATTATATAAAACTTGTCAGCTGCGGTCTTATGGGTGTTTGCCAATATTTCAGAGCAACATAATTGTCACCATCTTCTAAGTTGTCTCACCCAGAAAATGTGGGTGATACAGTCTCCTGAAATGTTGGTAACCCACACAGCACCATAACCCAGTATACCACATTAAATAGTTTCCTGCCATTAGAATCTCAGATTATTACAATACATGATCATTATAATTTGTTATTTCAGACTTTGTTTTCTGTGATGTCATTGTCTCTGTTAACTTAACCAGGGGGCACTTTATCATACTTAATAATAGATCTGCATTCATATTCAGAAGGCATATGGATTGCAAGTCTGAGTCTGTTACGAATAAAGTATAATTTCATGAACTGTATTCTTACGAAAATATTTTCACTGTACATCTCATAATTTCCTGTCATTTCGACTACATTACTCTTCTGTCATTAGTGGAGTTATGTTTCTAAAGTTACATACTTATAATTTGTACATCATGTTCTTAATGGAACATATTTTGCTATAGCTTGGTAAATGAAATTACGATTATCATTAAATTGAGAGGGTATTGACATATGATGTGTGATTGTTTGCAGCCCCCACGTAAGAGTGATGAGTCCCTGATTTCTGGCTGGCTGTTCTTTCGTTACCTGGCTATTGGATTTTATGTAGGTGCCGCAACAGTTGGTGCTGCTTCTTGGTGGTTCATGTACAGTCCTCTTGGACCAGGGTTGAATTATTATCAACTGGTGAGTGCCAACATCACTGTTGATTGAAATTCAGTTGATTACTTCTTCAGTTACATATTAGAAAATTGAATTCATATGGCAGGGTTATTGAAAATCTGTAATTAAGTTTATGCTTTAATTCAAAGTTTTGTTTGCTTGAAATATGATACATTTTATATTCTCTGTGACAGATCCTGCCCTTTTATGCAAATTACGAAGGTGCTTGTGGCCCACTTCATATAAAACGTTTTTCTGCCGACATCAGTCAGTTGTATTTTGTAATGATAATGCGTTCTTACGCGTGCTACATTAAAATATTTTCACACAATATGTTTTTCTGGTAGATACTGAATTGACAGTTGTGTGGTTGGTTGCCCAAGTACGAGCTATATGAACAGGGCATTTGATAATCTCGTTAAACTTGGTCGCAGATGGACAGATGTGTTGCCTCTGTTGAAAAAAGCATGTCATTGGTGGTTTTATATTGTATATTTGGTTACATGCATTAAATATGTGTGTAATATACAGTTTGGTCGTGTTTTCTGATTGACGCTATATACGTTTTTCTCGATATTTTGTTCATACTAAATTTTTTTATTGCAGACTCACCATCTTGCTTGCATTGGTGAAGGAGAGGAGTTCAAGGGAGTTGACTGCCATGTTTTCACTGACCCTCATCCCATGACCATGGCTCTGTCTGTACTCGTCACCATTGAGATGCTCAATGCCATGAACAGGTGATACATAGTTGTTATTGTAAAGGCATGAACCAATACTACACATTATATCTGATATTAATAAACTTGTACAAATGTAAGGTTTGTAATTATGGTTGACCATACCGGCAGTGGAAATTTGTAGCAAATGAAGAAATATATATACCAAGGACTTCCTCGCAGTGGTTGAAAATTGATGCCTGTGCTTCTTCCTACTGTGAGAGAAGACGAGGTTTGGAAGTCGGGCTTCTTAAATTCACCCTGTTGCCAACACAGCTGACATTGATGATGTGAAGTTTACTGTCGTACTTTATGGATAAATACGCTGTATTACGTAGAGCAGGGACAGTGAACACTAACCTGTATGCCAAATTTTATAGAACATGTTTGTTTGCCGTTCTGTTTAATGAATAGTATGAATAGGTACTTAAAATTTACTGGCTGTAAAATCTGTCGTGACAGGGGTGAATAGAGTGGCATTGTGGTTGATTGCTTGGGTCCTACTGGTTCCCCACACAGTGATGCATATAATCAACCATCGTACTCATTCCAAACATTTTGACATAAGTTTTCACTTTTTCCAGCTTGTCTGAGAACCAGTCACTAGTTGCGATGCCCCCATGGTGCAACTTGTGGCTGATGGGATCCATGATTCTGTCTTTCACTCTCCACTTTGTCATCCTTTACGTTGAGATCTTGTCCGTAAGTTGTTTCTGCATTTTTATAATTACCTAAGGCAATTGAAATATAAGTTTTTCAGAGTTTATAGTGGAGCTTTTAATTCTTTCCCAGATTATTTGTACTCTTGACAAATTGTTGACAAAGAATTCTTTTATGATGTAAGATCAAAGTTTTGGAGCCCTGAATTTTGCTTCATAGGTGTTCTGTACTTCCTACTTTTCTTTGATGTGCATACATTTTAAATTTGTTGTCCAACAGATAAATTTGAATGAGAGTTCCACTTGTTAAATTTATGTCTGAGTTCTCTGAATTTAAAATTCATATATTTTATTAATGGTATTTGATGGGACCATGTTGATGTTCATTTGTTTCAATAAGTGGCAGGTATTTATCTGTTTTGTTGGTGTGCAAATGGCAACAGTAAGGCCAGTAGCTCATAGAATGCATTTTGAGCTATTGCTATGGAAACAGTGAAAGTATGATGCTGCATCAGAAATTTTTGAAATGGAAAGCTTTTGTCACCTATGTTCAGATGAACATTTTTTATTGCTTTGGTGTGTGGAGCTCACTTATATGTTTGTATCATACCTTTAACTTACATCCTGTATACTATATTTTGAAGTAATACATGTTTATGGCTTCCCCCTCGCCCCCCTAGGCTTTTTGTCCTATAAAGAGATTTTTGAGTATTTTCTCTGTAACATGTAAATTGCAATGTTTGTTCCTGTCAGACCTTATATGTCATGACATGAGAATGACAGCTTTCTCTCTGAACGTAGTATTGAATAAGATGTTCTATTGTGTGTCCCTCAGCGATATACCGGGTCTACAATTTATGCTGTAACGGCCTTGCTTGCATTGCGTGCTCGGCCGAGTGCACTGTTGGTGTGGGAGAGAGTATTGCGTGTTCTTCCCGTGAGTCACCGGCGAATCAGTTTCATTGCGTCTCTCATCGCAGATTGACGTTGATAATATGGTGTACAGTATTAAGCAACGTGTGTTCTTAGTCGAAACATATGCCAAATATTCATCCTACGGAAGATGCCGCCGTAAATATCGCAGACATTTTCCCAGTGAAAGTGTTCCTAGCAGGCCCACGATAGAGAGATTAATAAAAAAAAATCGTAGTACGGGATCAGTTTTGGATAAAAAGAAGAACAGGAAACCACAATTCATTTCAACAATTTCCCAAGAAGAGCTTCGTCAAGTATTTCGAAACATGTTAACGAGATGTGAAGTCGCTTGCAAGCACAAGGAAGTCACTTTGAAAATATTTTGTGATTTAAGGTAAAACAATTAATGTAATAACATGTATTAGTGACGAGAAATATTTGTAGTTCGCTGTTACTAGCGGCACTGAAACTGATTCGCCTGTGACTCACGGGAAGAACACGCTATCTCTATCCCACACCAACAGTGCACTCGGCCGAGCACGCAATGCAAGCAAGGCCGTTACAGCATAAATTGTAGACCCGGTATTTACCTTATCAGGTTTATTCCTCTCCAGAATCATATGTGAGGCTTAGCATATTTATCTTTCCTTTCATGATAGGTATAATTTGTTTAGTGCATGCAGTTATTATAGTGTTTATTTTTAGCAGAAGTGAGAGAACGTGAATTGAGTTTTGTGTTTTGTCGTTCAGACTGTTTTTCAGGTAACGCCTCTTAATGTCGATGAGTGGGTGACCGTCATGAAATTCTCCATCCCTGTTGTGCTACTTGATGAAACACTCAAGTTTGTTGCCAGAAAGTTTGCTGATGGTGAGAACTTCATTTATACCCTGCACTGGATTGTTATTATGTGGGGGGCATTCATTGCCTTGATATTGTTCGGCCCCCTTTAGGAAATAATAGTGGATGTGAATTTTTGCCTACCTAAACCAGCCACAAATAAATACTACTTCACCCCTGGACTTTTGAACATTAACTTATAAATTAATATAAAATATGGTGAGAGAGAGAAAGAGAGACAGTCTCAATCGACAGAGATTTGTTTTGGAACAGTTTAACCTTAACACCCTCCCTATGCCGAGCATGGAGAGAACTGGTGCTTTGGTCACAGTGTGTGACTGCAGAGGCAGTATTAAGTGACAGTGGACCAGAGACGGGGTGTGGAGTGGTTCGGTGGAGAACAGGGTCGAGGGGTGTGTCTTCCTTCCCAGGACACAAAAGGGAATTGCTCACTCAGAAACCAGGGATCATTGTGTTTTCCTGTACAAGTGATCAGTACAAAACTCGACCTCCTTCCAGAAAGGTGTTTTCGTGCTGCACCGAATAACCTTGTGCTATGAGTATGTTTTGATAACATTTACTCCTTTACATTTTTCTAACTGTAAAGGCATTCATTTTGTAATTAGTAGGGAAGTGCCTTTTTAAGACTCACCTCTTTTTGTCAGATGGTCATTTTGTTTTTTGCACCTAGTTTCTTTCATGGTTTTTTTTTTCTCTCTGAAAATTTGCTGACAGCTGTCGAGTTTTTGCTTACCTGTGTACATAATGTTTTAGGCAGAGCCCTTATTATATTATACATTCTGACAATAATTTTAATGAGGTTTAGCCATGGAGTTGAAAGGGAGGGTGGGATTTTTTGAACAACAAACATGCATATTTGTATGAAACAGGAAACTTCTGTTATGGGTACTACATCATGTCTGCCATTTTGATCTACAAAAGAAACTATTCAGTAATGGTTTTGTATCGTAGTCTGAATTAATTGTATAAAAAAGCATGATGTAACCCATGTAATTGCAGCAAATTTTATTTGTCCATTTCATTTCTGGGGATAAAGAGTTTCATGCATAAGAATTATTTATTTTTAATGGCAGACTCTTTATGGGCTTTGTGCGGGATCACAAGGTTCTGTTTGAAGAGGCGCTGTTTACTTAGGTAATAATGCCGGACAAGTGCATTTTTGTTCCATTTAGTTCATTGTGTTTATCTGTATATTCAACATTTAAATTATTGTTATTAAACTGTTACCAGATATTGATAATACATATCAGTGAAAAGTGGAAGTTTTTGATTGCTGAAGAATGGTGGCAGAATTATCTTAAAATAGCATTTCCTGTTTTGACATTTCTTATTTGAGAAAGTTAGGTTACCCTTCAGGTATTGTATTGCGTGATTTATTGCTGCGTTTGCGATTTCATTATCGATTCAGGTGGGGAGACAGAGTGGCCTTCAGACAGAAAAGAAATTACAGTGGGATGGGAAGAAGAGAAACGTGGCTTTAAAAAGATTGCTTAAGTGAAGAATATACTGAGGGAACGTTAGCAATGTGAATGGATACAAAAATTTCCATGTATTTAATTTTGTATTTTGCTTTTCGTTTTGTGATGTGGAACATATATGAAGCCATCCATTCACTCAGTGGCCAGCTCTGTACCTTCTATGCTTCCATCCCATCCTGTGGCTCAGCCTATCTGTGCAAACCTGTGCCCATGCACCTCTGCACGCTAAAACTACTGCTGTGAATAATGGACTGGCATTAACTTACTCTTGTGTGTTATGAATCATTATTATTTTCCATATTTCTTTTTCACGGAAGAAATATATTTATGCATGATGCTTTATCACTTTGAAGCACAACAAGACCTTTTGTTTGAGAAAATGACATACCCCAGCTAATGGTTCCTACATGTTGTAGGTTGAATTTTTCTTCTGTTGGGTTTGGTATAATGCATTGAAAATTCTTCCATATAGTCATAGTTTTAGTATGGCTAAAACAAGTTGATTTCACTTCCAACACGCAAACAGAAGAGAAAGAGTTTAGAAATTTAATGTTTGTTAATGTATGAATGAATACAGGGAAAATTATTAGTAAGTACGAATTAGATTTGTGTGTATGCGAGTGCATTTGATCCTTTTAAGGGCATGTGTTAGACAAAAAAGTATTAACCGTCATGATCTAAGCAAGCAGTTCCTCTGCTTCATGCAAAAATAACCTAATGTTGGTGAACAGTTTAATGAACTCGCTGGAGGGAAGTAAGACTTAGTTTTATACAAATAACACTAATATTAGTGCAGATCACTTACCTGAAATGAGTTTCATGTTAAGTGTTCTTTCATGCTGAGAAAGAGATTTTACATTATTAGTGAACGGTTCAGCTCCTCCAGTTTCATTTAAATTGTTCAGTGCATTTTAATGAGAGAATTGGAATCTAAAAGTAACATAAATATGGTGTGTAAATATCAAGTAATGTAACAGTGGAACAACTTGTTAATGAGAACTTGTGTTACTAATAAAAGAAATTAATATTTTAAAGAAAAATGAGTGTAACTTACATTAAGTGTTTGCATGCTGTTTGTACTTGCTGATAAGCTTCTTTCTCCGCCTACTGACATGCTTGATTTCTTTCCACCTCCCTTTTATCATACCATATTTTGATTATGTAGCTATAGTTCAGTGGTTTTAAGAGTTCTTTTTGGTTTTATTTTCTACCCCTTTAATTATTATGATTTATCAATACAAAACAGGAACTATATCCACCATCTCTAATGGCTGTGGCAGGTTAATTGCTGAAAGCACAATCCACTTTTCGGTAGGGATTTGTAGATCAGACGAGGTAGAGGCGTGTATATTTCCTTTATCTCGAGTGGCATAAAACAAAATGTGTTTGCGGCAATAGCTCCTCGCATTATAAATTTGTACTTAAGTACAAATGCATGTATAGCTGTGGCACAGCACTGGACTAATGACAATAACATTTTTATGTGATGTCAACCTTAAATTTAATTCGCTCGACGGCTATGATAAATAGAAGTAGGAAGGAACTTGTGAGGTCTGGTTGAAGGGGCCCGTGCCATTGCTCCAAATAATCGGACACAACCCACGTGCTTTGTATCTATTGTATTGAAACTGTTGGCTCCAGTATGACTGAAGACAAACTGGCTACCAACATAAATAACATCAGTGCAGAGATGGAAAGGGAACTTTATGTGAAGTGTTTATATGGAAGTAATAAATTAAATTTGGCTGCAGACATGTACATTTTATTTTGTAAAATAATGTCTAAGAGAACAACATGTAAAATAAGTAAGAATAGAAGCATGTGTACCACATCTAAAGCCTAAATATGCTGAGAGCAAAAGATGAAGACTGATAATTGCATCAAATAGAACATTTTCTTGTTTCTTGCGTTATTCTTCGGCAAGTTCCAGTTCAGAAACTGCAACTTGAGTAAAGTTTTCACACGGCTGGAACTCTGTAATATGATGACATCATAGTGTTCCTTCATGTTGGTCATTTGTTTGTATTTGTGTAGCGGATTTTTTTTTTTTGATCGGTTTCCATCAGAGTATTCATTTGACGTCCTTTTATGAGACAATAGAATCCATATTAATGTTATGTGATATGTGCTTTATCCTCTATTGGATATAAGAAGTGTAATATTTTAGAAGTACTAGGAAATGCAAGCATTTTCAAAATATAACATTTATTCTGAAACTTACAATTAAAATATAAAATCAGTTGTCTTCATATCAAGTGACAAAACCAAAGGAGACAAAATGTCTGCCATTAGAAAAAAAGATTCACATCTTTTGTGTACACAATGGCCATTTGAATCTCTGAGTGAACATTCTGTGGAGTATGATATTGAGGAAAGATGTTTTCAGACAAGCGTGTTGAGTTTCATAATACATATCTTTGTTTCAGTTACATCACTCTTTTTAGCAATCATTGTACATTGTAATGTTCGGCCTGAGGTTGGTCATGGTGTTCGTAACACGTATTTGTTTAAGGGCAACTGATAATGCTGCAGACAAATTGTGGCAAAACTTAACAAGGTAGTGAATAACAGGTCTATAAGGAAGTGAACTGTTATTGAAATATATACTATATTCCAGTTGCCAATGAAAACCTGAAACATGTCTTAAGTACTGTTCATAATATGGATAAAACAAAATAATACATCAGTCTGAGATTTTCGGACTGAGGCAATACTGATTTGTGCTATTCAGGTTATTAATTCTGTTACAAGCCATTTTTTTATTGCATGAAGTTTAAAGAATTTTGTTCCAGTTTGCAGTTTTTTATTTTACAAAGTGTGCAGTCAGACAATCCTATGTAACCTGAACCTCCCCTGACAAAGCTTGATGTTTCTAAGTTCAGTCAGCAGGCAACCTGATTACTTCTGCCTTAGGTAAGAATCCTTATAATATTGTCAAATTTGGGAAAATTCATGATCCTGGTGTAGCAGAAATGTGTTCGTAATAGTTAAATCATTTTGTTTTCCACTGATATATAAACATCACTGACAGCTAAAAGAAATAAGAGTTTATATGTATTTTGTAAGATAAAAATGTTTTTGCTACAAGGGCATGATTTTCTTGAATATTCAGAAATGGTTTTCAAAGCAATATTAATGTAATGCCTACTATATAGTAGAGAATTCTCATACAGTCATCGGGCTTACTTTAAATAGGAATCTTTTGTTCAGTTGTAAAGTTACATTTACTGTGTGTCTAATAATAGCTGAGAAGAACATTTATGTAATGCCAAAATAATTCTAAGTACACTAATTTAGTTTCTTTTTCTTGAAAATGTTACGCATGGGCATCCATTAGAAATATTTTCCTGTCATTATAATACTTATGTAAGTGAAAATAATACTGTTTTGAGTTCAATTACAAGGAGGCCAAGGCTCGACTTTGGGCTGTCACACCATAGAAGAAGAAGAAGTTCAGTTACAAACAAGTCATTCATTAATTTTATCAACCTTATTGAAAATGAACAAGTCAGGATAGCAACCATTTTTCAGATTTGCATCAGTTCCTTGGAACAAATGCTGCAGTAGCACCTCCAAAAATGGGACCCAACTTTATTTAATGCCTTTGTAATTTCCCCTGGCTGTTCTTGGTTGCCCATTTGTAACAACGTAATTTTGCGATGTTTATTAAGCAGTTGTGACATTTATATAAATATAATCAGACACACACAACCTTCTGACAGAAGCAAAAAAAAAAAAACTTTCGGTCAGTGAGAACACACATTCATCTACGCTTTTTGTAATATTCAGTGAAATAAATATACCAATATTTCTTTTTGTGTGTGATGAACATGCCTCTCTTAATGGAAGTGTGTCTGAAGAAAGACATGTAATTAATTTTCATACCCCATGTTCATCAGATACAGTTTTCATAATTTGTAGCTGATCTTTCACAGTAAGAATTTTGAGTTATAGTTTGTAACAAAAACGTTGAAACATTTATGTAAATATTGATTTGAGTACTAGAATTTTGGTAATAATTGTGATTACAAATTGTATTGGTGTGAATGAAAAATTTGTTAAATTTTTTGTGTGTATATGACGTACATTTATGATGGGTGTAATGATCATTCATTCAGTCATTTCATCAATCCATAGCAGTGTCTGAATATATTTATTTGAAGGAATTATAGTAAGATATTGTTAATGACTATTATAATATATCAGCATTTTATTATGTTTTCAGTGTTGAAGTCAACATCGTCTGAAATTTAGCAGCATGATCTGATGGGACCAGTCAATTCGATATTAGTGGTCCTTTCCCTTTTAACATTCATATACCGATTTTTCATGGTTTTTCTTGTCCCCTTTGATATCAGGTGGGCAGAGGATTGCCATGTGCACTATCCCAGAATGTGAGAATTGTGGAAATATTTATGCAAGACAACTATTCATTGTTGAAGTTTGAAGGTTTATGACGATCATGCATTATAGTGTGTAAAATTGTCTTTTCGGACCCTTTAAATGTCATTATTTTATAATTTAGACGATTGACGAAGTCCAAAAGAACAATTTTACATATAAATTTCATTGTTGAGAATATTTGAACTTCGGAATAGCGTGTCTTTTGCGTTTCTTAACGTCTTAATATTGTTTTGCCTCCTTTCTCTGATGTACTTGATTTCTTTTAACTAATGTTACCTTTATTCTTTTTCATAATTTACTCAGTGCTTGGTTAAGTTAATGGAGTGTACCCCTCCCTGCATCACCCGTCTCTCTTCATCTGGAATGCTGTGTGAGTATTGTCACCTTTGACCCAAGGACCTATATATTGTTTTCCAGTACATTTAAAATCATGATCATTTATTGTAGATCTCAAGCTTACATTTATAATATTTAATAATATTTATATTTCATAATGCACCCATTTATTTTGGGTATGGGTTTTCACTGTCTGTACAGTCAGTACAAAATATTCATTTTTCAGAAGTATTTCCAATAATTTGGCTTAAATAACAGGACATACGAAAAGATTGACAGGTAAAATAGTGTTAAAAATCACAGTTCCAATGTTTGTCCTGTACATTCATGCATTTTAAATTGTTCATTTTATAATTCTGATGTAAGTTTGCAGTCTTAATATGCATCAATGCATATACATACAGTGGTAAATGTGTAGAATGGGACATTTTCAAATGGGGAAAATCCAAACTATTTGTTATAAAGATGGCTGTCTTCTGGGATGTAACACTGTGTAGTTTGGTAGATATATTTCACAGGGGCCTACTGCCTTCATGTACCAGACTACATGGCGCTACATCACAGGAGAGAGCCATCTTTGTGTTTGTCACTATGGGAACCTCAAGTCTCACCTGTTAAGTCATAGATTACCTAATTATGAATGAATAGTCTTTCGAATTTAATATTCACATGTGACATGCATTTTTTATGGTATATGTAGATGCATACATTTGTTTATTACACTGTAATGATACTACAGTACATACTTCTAAACTTATAATTTGAAGAGTGTTGAACTTACATAGGTTATTTCCTATAGAAAGTAGTGTAGACTTCAGCCATATACCGTTCCTCTTAACGATCCCAAAGCTAGCTAAACTTGCTTCAGATATGTGCTTGCTAACTTTTGATGATACAATTTGCAAATTTGTGATACGTGAACCCAAGCCATCAGACTATTAGAAATATCAGACCATATATTGATTGTATTATAATATGGACCAGATAACAGAAGATGATTAACATGTTCTTTGATTACTAGTCTACTAGGGTCTTACATGTACTTCACCGCAGTGACAACAAATATTTTTTTAAGTAATATAAAAAATCCTCAAAGGCATATTTGAAATAGTCATTTCAAAAAATTGCTATTAAGAAATTGCAGTCACTTTGAGGGGCAGAAAAATATAGATCAGACAGTCTGGAATTTTAATGGATTCGCCAGCAAATGTAACTGTTGTAGCCATGCACTGATTAACCAAAAAAAGGTTGGAGTTGGCCTTAGTACGCTGCTTTCAGTTTTAAGGGAAACACCGGGCTGCAATGCAACACTGTGAATGGAAATAGAAAGGGTTCATTCTGATAACTAAAAACTTGTCCAGCGAGTCACTGGAAGAAGTAAATGTTTTTATATGACATTTATTTGTTGATATAATTCTTTACGTTTGGAAAGTTTGATTGCTTGGGTGGCACCCTGTATAGCTTCTAGGCGCTGTTCTTCAGCTGGCTGTAAATGCTGCAGCGCTTCTTCCTGCTGTGATAGTCATGCCATTTGCTGCATGCTAGAAACATTTCTGATCCATCTTTCTTTGCTTTTATATTTCACAGTGACACCAACCACTGTAATTGGCAAATGGTGAAGGGCTGCTGGCTGGTAGACCAGCAGATGTGATAATAATGGTGATGATGGAGGCTACATGTGAAATAGAACATTGCGAGGAACAATTAATATTAGAATTTTTTTTCCTTTAAAATCATTATTATAAACAGAAACTTGTGTTAAAGATTCCAGGCATTTGTTAATGACGTTGTTCCCTCTCCAGGCGTAAGGCTTAGCTTTGTTGTTGTATTTTGTTTGTTGTCCTGTGATATTTTGTGGTTTGTTACTCTATACTTTAATTTGTTAAGTAAACTTAGTTTTCAGCACTGCTTGTAGGTGTAGTTCTGTTTAATACATCCTATGTAGAATGCTTCTTTTCACTTTTTTTTAGAAATGTAGTATAATTTATGCATGTGATTTTGTTCAATCTTCAGGGCCGTAAAATGTAGCCAAAGGAGTAATATCTTCATATGTTAAAATAACTGCTTAAATCTTAGTAGTAACTAACCTAAGTAACTTGTGTATTCTGTTCCAGTTGGTGAAGCAGTAGTGGACAAGTGGTAGAAAACATGCCTAATGCTCAACATAACAGCTTCAGAATAAGCCAACAAGTGCTTGATACTAATAAAACAATATCTTCAATAAGCACGCTGTATTAAAGACTAAAACAGCTATTAACGATAAAATCTAACCAAGCTGGGAGTACAGTATATTGCTTATTGACAATGGGCATAATATTATTTCTCTCATTCTACTGTCTTTCCCCTTAAGACTCGTTTCTGTGTTTAAGAGAACAGCTGTATTTTCAACCTTTTTTGTATGTATGTACTAAAAACTTTTTTGGGGGGACAACTCCTTAACAACTTTGGCATGTCATTTTTTCATAATTTCACAAGTGGATATAGAGCCCCATTTTCATTTTGTCTCCTTTTCTGCCCCATACCAATGATTCCAATGACTTGTTCCAAACTCAGAGCCCTGGACAGGCTTGGTCAGTCTGGAACATGGGACACTGAACAAAACCCTTTGTCCTTTATATCACATCCCTCAGACAATATTCAATAATGTTTTTTGTTCTTGTTATTTATTTAAAAATATATAAATGGAAAACTTTATAGTGAACATTTGTTTTCAAACATCGTCATCAACAAACAACAAGCTCCGTCGTCTTCCTTCCAATGCACAAAGGAATAATCAGGACTATTGAGGACTTCACTGCAAGTCTGTGATTGAAGGTGTGAGTGATTCAAATGAGAAAGTATTTACTTTTTTAGAAAGGCGATAATGGTGTTTTTGAGTGATAGAAATCAAATAACAAAATTTATACAAACCATGTAAATATAAATAGAAAAATATATTTTGAAACAATAGGTGCATTGTTATTGCTGGCATCATTAAGACAAAAAAAGAAAAAGTGCAGGAGAATGTTGGAATCTTGGGCGAGAATCAATTAAAAATTAACAAGAATGATTTGTGTATTTAAAAAAATAAGAGAGGGGGATTTAGCTCCTTCAAGACTTTCTGAATGTTCTTTTCAATTGCAGTACCTACTTTCCTAATGGTCAGGATAGGAAGACCATGAAACAAAACTCAGTATATATTTATATTCTAAGAGTGTGTGTGATAGAGGAGATAAGTAGGTAGTTTTAGGAAGAATTCCATTCTCAAATTAATATTATTTCATACATACAGTCACCAGATTCTATCAGAACGAACGACTGCTTTTAGTTGGTGTCTCGCCCAGACGGTCAAAGATTCTCAACTCCAGACAAAGGAGGTATTAAAAATTTATAACAAGAAAACCTGTCTGCTGGACAAAAACTGTGCATTGTTTATAAGTGAAAAACTCTGCTTCCCTTTGTTGTTATGTACAGAGAAACTGATACTGTGAGTTGAAAGTTTTGTACAAGAAAAATCCAAAATATGTTAGTAATAAAGCCTTGTACTTGGTGGTTATATGGCGTATGATTGTGGTACATCGCAAATTCTTAAGTCCGTTCCACCACTTCCAAATACACCCCCTTCTTGTAAAGAGGTCTTAATGTCCTCTCCTCACCTTTTCTGGTTTCTGAATAATATGGAAACCGAAGAATGTGTAAATACGGTAGAATCCCGATTATTTAACATAACTGGGACCAAAGGATGGTCAGATAATCAAAAATTTTGGATAATATGGAAGACTAATGAAAGAAATGAGGGTAGACAGCTCAATTTGTAACTTGGTTTTTTTATTCTTAATTATGAAGGAAACACAACATGGCATGAGCTAAAAAATCTCACAAAGAAAAATAGTATTTAACATAATGTAAATTTATAAATGAAAGACTGTCTTTAATACATTAGTAGTGGCAAGGTCATGCTGGCACCTAACAGTGGTATGCCTGTAGCAACCGGGTACATAAAATGTAGATGGTACATGGTGGTAGAGTGTGATCCATTCCACTACATGCTGAGTTGGCTGTTGATACGGTGGAGTTTCCTGACACACCACGTCAGACAAAATGGAAGGTGCGATCGTTGGGACTCAACTGTGTTCACCATACAATAAGTAGTTCCTTCATTTTATTTTCAGTATGACTACCACTTCTAGCAACAGGTGTATGGACTGCCAACAGCAAATATAATATATGTTCATGTGTAATGTATTTTTACTAAAATCCCTTGCCTTTTAAATTATGAGGGTTTACAGAATAGAGTGAGTGCAAAGCCCATGTGTCATTGGCTTGTAAACATAAGAATTGCATTAATCATGAATATGAAGGAAATGTGGATGAAAATAGTCACTATAGATCAGTTGTGAAATAATATTGTCCTTTAACTCTGTATACAATTCGTACAAATGTGAAGACATCTATGAAATATGAACATAAGGATGCAGTGTACCAAGTACATGAGTATCTTCATCTTCAACACCTTCAGGTGGTGTAACCCAAAGGAATAATGAGGTGGTGAGAAGCTAAAAGAAAAAATGGACACAGAGAGCCACAGGAGGACAGAAGTGATAAAATATGCAAAACCAGTAAACTATACTGACCCACACAAACGATGGTGGCTGAGTTTTGGGATGATTTTGCACAAGCACTGTCACGTGCCTTCATCAGCCACTCAGCTTCAATCACTTGCTGTATGCTCACTTGTATAGTTAACATACAGTATTCAATTACTTCAAGCGTGAAGCAGACAATTTTAACACTGAAAGTGTACGAAATATGTCACTTAGAATAATTTCATTTTTTACCATCAGTCTCAATACCAGGTCCCCTTCCATTAAAACAAACTATAGCTTGTTTTAATGGAAAATCCTTACATTCTTTGTAACTGCAACTTTAACTCCATTCCAATGGTCATGCTTGTATACAGCCTGGTGGTGGTTACTGTTATATTGTTACATTTTACGAAATTGTCTTGTTATATGTGCCTCAACATGTGGGTAAATCTTGGCACATGTTTTTAATTTCAGCATATAGGCAGAGTCAGCCTTGGAGGCTGTAAACATATCAGGTTCTTTTATTTTGAGTATCGTCAATCGATAGACTGTTTCATTATCGCGAATATTACAAAACACACTACTTACAGAATAATGATAAACTTTAATTTTTAATGTGTCATTATTATGCGGTTGTGTATCAATTAGAAATTGTTGTGAGCGTACAAACTTGTCTTCTTTAAGGGTAATGACACTGACTTCACAATTTAACATAAGTGACCACTGTTGTGAGTTTACTTGTACCATCAGTTTGCTGGAAAAGACAGGTTTTCTGTTTAATAATTTTACGCAGCTTTAAACTTACAAACGTCATTTTTACTTTTATAATACCACCTTCTCACGATAGCTAACATAACACCATCAAACTTTCCATGTTTTACAGTGCAGCCAACACAACGTAATTAAAGCTACAATGGTAATATTTACATTCAGTGTTGGTCATTTACGTTTATTAAATATGAGTGGTACTACTGAAGATAATATGGCTGCTTATATGAGAAATTAGTTTTTTCATGAGTGTTTACAATGTTGAGTATGATGATACTACTATGGAACAGTATTCGATTTTTAGTTTTACAGTGGCTTTATTCAGTTGTGCGAGATCTGTATTCAAGACACAGTACTCTTGGGAAAAAATTCATTACAACACATCGAAAAGGTAAGTGGTTGTAATAGTGTTTCCAAAAGCTTTTTGATATTGGACGGGTTATAACCTACCAGTAATAATTCCAACCCCATCACCAAATTCAGTAAAAATAATTTCAACTTACGTAACACATGTAACCTGTTTGTGAATTTAATTTTACATGATAAATCTAGAACTACACGTAAAATTACCGAAAACACGTTTATTTCACTGGCACAAGTCTAATAAATTTACATTCAGTATCTCACACATCATCCTCCTCCTCCTCCACATTATCATAGTCTTCTTCTTCGTCTCCTGTAAAAAAAGTTCCATGAGGTAGGCCACCACCATCCTCAGGTTTCAGCATAACCACACCATTGGCACCTATTCGGATGCAGTCATAAGACATTTTGAACACTGAAGTCTCCTTCCATCTACCCTCCATGTCAATACACATGTGCAGGTTTCTTCCAGTGAAGTACACATTGCTGAACACGGCACATAACTTGATACTGGGAACTCTCGGTACAGGCACACACACAGGCGCCGGGTTCTTTCCTGTTAACATGACTTCATTACTGAACCACACAGATAATTTCATGGTGCAGGATGTGCTTTTAAAAATTACTGTAGTAATCAAGAAACTATTATCATATTCACAAAATCCACCATTAGAGTCTCTGTGTTGAATAAGTTCAGTCCAATCAACTCCACCCGTTTCACACCCTGTTTTTACAATACATTGTGTATTTTGATGTTTTAATAATAAATTTATGTTGTGGTAACACAAACTTTGAAGTTGCATGATTGATGGTGAAAAGCACTGTTATTGACTGTTTCTACGAGATGAATTTTTATATTAGGGGGCTCTTCTTGTGAGGTTAACTTACTTACTCCATGGAGCAGAGTCCTTGAGAAGCTGATAGTATGCTCAACAAATCAGGAAGTTCTCTGCCTTGTATGGAACCTGAAGGTTCATTACTGTGTTCGTAAGATCCCACCAACAGTCCCTGCTGTAAGCCAGATGAATCCAATCCCACCCTGTTTCTTGAAGATTCGTTATAATATTATACTCCCATCTGTGCCTAGATCTTCTTAAGATTTTTTTGACAAAAGTCGTGTATGCATTTTCCATTTTTCCCATGCATTAATTTTAAGCTCCTCACTATGTCATTTTCTGCATCTTCCTGTTAACTTCCTTTCACAGGTCTAAATATTCTCCCAGCACCTTGTTCTCATATACCTTTAATTTTTTATCGTTGCTCAAAGTAAAATACTAAAAAGGCATTTAAAATGGCAAATTAGTTTTCAAAATAGATAAGTCATTTACGATAACAAAGATCTTATAATTGAAATGAAAGTCAGAATTGGAATCAAGATAGTATTAAATGACAAATAAATTAAACAGTACTAGGATTTAATGTAAATCTTATTAAGAATGCCTGATTGATTTAAACATCTGTAAATTTAATTATGAATAATTGAAATAGAATGAAATGCTCCAAAACTTATTAAAGCAAGGTGTGGGTTGTACGGGTTGGAGACTACTCACCAGAGAGTGTGTTTTTGTAGAGAACTCTCTTGTTGATTGCTAAAACCATCTTGAAGGTGAAGTCGTCTGGATCATAAGTCACATTCATACATGCTGTGAAATAAGTCACGCTTTTATTAAATTGAAGATCTCTTACGTATCGTTTGCTGAAGCGATAGGTCGGTTTGGCTGTTCAGAAAATTTCCTGTTATAGGATCTTAAGATTTATCATCATCATCTCCTGATCATGTCCTCACCTCTTTGCTGTACGTTGTATCCCAGTTGTCCTAAGATAAATCCTGTGCAGCATGCACACTGACCGTCTATGCACGCACAAGGGGACGGCACTTGTCGCACCAGCACGATATCCGGAGGCACAGAACTGTTGTCTGCTTCTGCAATTGCGTCTAAAATAGTAAAAATGGAACCTCGATAAATATTTACAGTTTCTTTGCCAGTGTTCAAACCCAAGTTATGGACTGTCTAAGCCCCAACATTTTGTAAAAAAATAGTTAGAGTTCTGTAATACAAAACTTGAATTTGGAAAATGTTGTTGATGTTCTTGGTTGTGATGCCATGTAGACGTAAAGGGGGAAACTACCAACATTTCAGATCTGGCGGTGTTTGGAAGTAGATAAAGTATATAGGGTCAGAAGAAGGACTAGGCTAGGGGAAATTGGCCAACCAGAGATGGTGTGGGCCAGTATGGAATTTGGAAATATTATCAGTAAAGTGACTGATCATATGCTGGACAACCAGGGTTCAGTCCCTGATATGGGCAGATGATTTTCTTCTAGCCTCTGCATCCAGACTGGCTGTGGGTCCCACCCAGCCTCCAGTGGGTACTTGGGGGGTCCTTTCCCCCTAAGTGCGTACATGTTGTGAGCAGAACAGCTTTACTTTTAAATGCAAAATCTGTGCTCCTTTTAACTTATAACGAATAATACAAAATGTTAACTGTCCTTTGAAAAACTGGTAATGAAAAATTACTAGTTATTATTTTACAAGATCTCTTCTAGTAACTTGTCATAATTTGTAATTATTTTGTCCTGAGCAACTACTATTTTATTTTAACTGCTGTGTTTAAACAGTTACTTGTAGTATGTAAGATTTGAGGTTTTCACAGCGGTGAGTACAAAGATTTCTGTCTTCTGGGTTGTTGCGCTGTGTAGTCTGGTCGATGTTAACCAACGGTTCAGAGGTCATACTGCCTCCATCATCAGAGTATGAAGATTTCTATCTTCTGGGTTGTTGCGCTGTGTAGTCTGGTCGATGTTTACCAACGTTTTCATCGTCCTGATGATGGAGGCAGTATGACCTCTGAAACGTTGGTAATCTTATTTCAGACTACGTGGTGTTACAGCCCAGAAGACACTCACCATGGTGAAAACCTCAAAACCTACTCAGATAAAAGTAGTTTTGGTCTTTATAATAAATGCAGGGGGAGGGGGCTCTAACAGCTTTTGGAAGCTGAGTAGTTAAAAATGTTGAACTTCTCCACATCCCTGTGGATGACATGTTTTTGGCAGAAGTTGCTGGTTACTGTGAGTCATTATTGTTTTTCTGCGCTGAGACAGCATACCTTGAGGCCCCTTTGTTGTGGCCACCAAGTGCAGAAGGAAGACGACAAGCAAGAAACTCTGCAAGTTTCCAAACGATGAGCAAAAAGGCATATTTTGATCCATGTGTCTGAAATAAAGAATCGCTCCATTAATCTGTGCTTAATTTCTGGGGATTTTTGCAGTGACCTGTTGTACTTGTACTTTCATTAGAGAAGTAACTTTGGTGTAATTTTATCAGTTTTATTTTTAAAACTTATACTCTGTTGTTTTACAAACACTTTTAGGCCAGTTAACAACTCAGAGTGCAACAATACGCCCATTAATTTCTTCATCTTTATCACCCTTCAAAAACAACTCGAGAACCACGAAACGTATTTTCATGAAAGTTTGTATTTGGCAGTTTTTTTACTCAAAATCGTAAACACATTCAATTGTTGATTAAAATCTAGCAACAATCACTGGCTCTTTGTATGACGACCTTCATGCATTATTGAGCGCGGAAGTGTTAACATAAGTAATTTCTTTTAAACTGTCCAGTACCATACAGGTTTTTAACAGATCCACGTCTAAGAGCGGTAGTTTCGTTCTGAATTCTCTACTTGGTTCTACCGCTATGTCGGTACCGGTTTCATCAAAGACGAGGACGTTTCAGACAAAAATGTCATCGGAGTGAAATCTGGATTGTGCGAACTTCGACCTAGTGGAGTGAAAACCACAGAATTCTTTAGAAAATTACTGCAGTTACTCCCAATGTGTTATTTCTTTGCAGAATAAAAACTGTTCTTCGACGCGGAGATGAAAAATTACATACACCTGTAAATAGCCTACGTAATATTACCGGAATCAGAAAGTGACGTTGTTGTAAAACAGTGTATGAGTATAAATCTACATCTCGTATAAGCGATCTAAAGACACGTTTAATTTTACTATTCTGTTGACTTAAGTAGACTGCCCCCCCGCCTATTGGTCTCTCCCTACTCTACTGGATCCTTACCTTGTGAACATCGACGCGGTCGGTCAACGACTGGCCTCTTTATTGGACGACGTGACGTTCGCCCGAGATCCACTGCCATGTTTGGCTTTGGTGAACTCGCAGCTTGATCGTTTATTGCTAGATGATCCAATTTCTTGTTTCCTCGGGTCAAAAATAGTGACCCAAATTTCGTCGACTTTAGCAATACTTATTTAGAAATGACAGTTACCATAGCATAGGATTATGTTCAAACATGCACCAATCAGTGTATATTTACATATTATTTTAATTTATTCCTACGTCAGCTTGTGTCTGACATAATATTTACCGGGAAAGCTTATATTTTACGGTAGGGTTTATAAGTCAGTAGCATATGTGGCACCTGTACGTAAAGTAGAGACGAGATTAGAATTACTATATTTTTTTCTGGATCTTTTGGAGTAAATAAAATAAATGAATTTGTAGTAACTAATAACTAAGTAACAAATAATTTCGCGGACCACGCTACAACTGGTATCGGGCCGTATGTGTCCCGCGGGCCATCAGTTTTACCACTCTTATTTATTGCAAAGTCTTACATCATTGTCGTAATATTTATTTAAGACCGTTCTGAAGGTGTATGGTGTATTGTAATATATCAAATCTAAAACTTCTTGACGATGGTGAAGAGTCAATTGAATAAAAATTTACTTGGATATTATCCATCGTCTAGTAATTATAAAACGTAAAACGACGTTTCGGAGATGGGACTCTATCTCCGTCTTCAGGTTCCTACACAGTTGGGCCCACTAGATAGAGCTAATCCCTATCTCCG